ACGCTGAGTTGTAGAATGCTTCTACGTACAACAAACAAAGAATTTACAATTGGTAGGTTTTCTTTCGAAATATTTTCCAAAATAATTAAACCATACTCACCATTAACATTCGTACAAGGAATTCCTACGCATATATAATTAGTGCCATCTCTATTTCCGTATTATTTCCTCTAGTCTGGTGCATTTACATGCAGCGCTTCTATCTATCCAGGAGGCTCATGCATATGCATGTCATGCAAACTGCGTCACCTTTTATTGAGTGAAAATGTTTCAAACGTACTGTATCCAACTTCCTGACGTTTGATGAATAAACGATTTCACATATTGTTAATTCAGTAGAGATTTAGAGCTTTCAAATTCCGGTGAAATCTATAAAAATGGCGCAAATTTTTATCGTTAAATAATGCACGTGATATTTTACGTCATTATTAAATAGACGACTTCAGTCTTAGTTATGAAAGTATTATTTTATTGCAGAAGGACACGACAGGAATAAGAAAAAGTATTAAATATTTTTTGTAATAATATGCTATATTCAGGAGAGTACTTTTAAACTATTTATACACCTAAATCTATAATAATAAAATCCCACAATACTTTTGTTAATAGTGGAATTTATACCAGTCTCTATACAGTAATATAATTAATTATAATAGATACACATACATCCTTCTGTATGCGTTAGATCAACATATTTTTGAATAGTTTTCCTATAAATTTACGTGTGTTGTGTATCTCCGCTGGTTTTGAATTGAAAAAAATATATATTTTAATTTACTTACGTCCTACAATAGTAACAACTAAATACTCTTCTAGGAACAGAATTGTTTTTCGCTCCATTTCACCTGTTAAGGCGAATAAAAAAAATTGTAAAATTCTTTAATAACTATGAAAACAACGTGTTTTGAATAAAAAAATTTAGCGTAAAAACGGCAATAATCAAATGTTTTCATGTTTTTGACTTGGGTACAATGCTTTTTAGTATTTCGTAATGTTAATCAATATGTACATATTGAACTGAATTCCCACAAATAAGTGAATAATCAGAATTGGTAGCGTTAAAGATTATTAAAGCATTCAAAATAAATTAAACCGAATTAAGCGAAATCCTGTTACGTTGTTTACTTTTGAAGCGCTATTATTTTCAGGATTGAATTATCTGCATTGCGTTGAGATTGATGATCAAACTTTCAATCTACAAGTTTGTATCATGTAAAGCTTTTAAAAATTAATTAACAAACCAACATCTAACAACTGAATCGGATATCTCGACTCATATTACTAAAGCTGATAAGTTTTCAAATCCACTTACTTTGTTTATTATATATTTAAAAAAAAGTGAAACTTTTATTACATCGTCTCAAACTTTTTCGTGTGTGTTGCATGTCGCGTGACGGTCGGTCGCGGAGTAGGGATAAAGTGAAAGGCGCTCGTCATAGCAGCCAATTTAATGTGTATATAATCTAAATAATTGGTAAGTATTATGTATAACGTACTCTCTAAGACATAGAGTTCAATAAAAATGTTATTATTATTTTACTATTTCCCATTATTATCCCAATTTTCCAACATTTTTATACACTTAATGGAATATTATTTCAAAAATTTTTAGTTAAATGTCTATAATGTGAAAAAAAGTTTCAGTTTTACCGTGGTTTCATAAAACCACACAATTCTTTTTTAATTTGTTTCGAAAACCTTTAATGACAATTTACATGAATACAAATCTGAATTCAATTTTGAAATAAGAATATAGAAATACGTAATCTGCAAGAGCTGACAAAGTGCATGCGGTATGTGGCCGTATCCCACTATTTATCTTACAACTATTGCGGCAGTATCGTGACCACGCGCGTTCATTTTATACTAGTCCTACCGCGGAGCTCGGATTATTTAAACAAGATCGAGCATTTGGGATTTTATCTTTATATATTAGTTAAGGTATTAACTTAACTTAACCCTTGAGAATTTCCTGACGTAATTAAAATTCTCCTCTGGTAAAGTTGAGATCCAAAACATTACAATTTCAATTTATTCTTTATGTAAAGACGATATGTCTACTATTAATACGATTATATTTATATTATTTCGTAGACAACCACCACAACTTTCTTTACTGTTAAACGATTTTGGTATGCGCCACCTTCCCTTAATAAGTTAAAAGCCGAAATTATTTACAATATCATAATATAAGTGTCGCAACGCTATATCAACATTTCATCGTTAAATTTTTACGATCTTATAATCATCAAATAGAAGTGTGTTGAGTCACGTTTATTTTAAAAGCGCCACCAACGTAAGGATCACACTTTCAATAGCTCAGGCTGAGTTAGTTTAAGAATAAGGTATTCCATAGAGCCTTACAAATCAAATTAATCACTTAAAAACTTCGTATCGGCTGACTGATCCTGTATAATAAAAATATTAAATATGGATAAAACGAACTCGACAAAGGAACGAATTAATTACCGTGAAGCTGGTATTCGAAGTTATTTCGTGGTAATAGACGGCGTCACTACGACAACATTTCATTATGCTAAAGAGCTATACTACTAATATCACATCATACTAACTATTGTCAAATTATCAATTTGATATGGCTACCTCTAGACCACGACTGCTGTAATAGTCGCGACAATCTTCGTTAAAGTATTTGTACCTATTTGTACAAATGGAATAGAAATACGAAATTAAAAATACACTATATAAAAAATACTAGTGGCGCTACAACCAATTAGGTTCTGGGTTTGAGATTTGTGCACCTGTTTCGTAATCATTTGCTTTTTCTAATAGGCTAATAGGTGATAAGCCTTCTGCCTGACATACGCCGTCGACTTTTTTATCTAAGACATGCCGGTTTCCTTACTACGTTTTTCTTCACCATACGAAATACTAAATTCGCACATAGCCAATAAGTGCATTGGTGCAGCCGGAGATTACGACCTCAGTAATGTGAGTCACGTGCTGAAGACAACACTGCTCTGAAGAATACATATGAGAATATAAAATTATATAAAAGATTAACACAATAAAACTATGGTCATTATTAAGAGCCTGGTTATAATTAAAAAAAATTCTCATCACTACACCCTTTTCGTATACTTGAAGTAAAACAATTGTTACAAGTGAATTAATTACGTTGACAAAGTAATTTATTTAAATTGTATCAATAAAGTGGATCGGTCACTGTCTGGTTATAACCTTTCAGCATGACAGACAATTTTTATAACAATATAAATTATACTGAATAATTTTGTTTAAACAATATAAATTAACTTAAGGTTCAGGCACCAAAAGGACAGTAAAAGGTTTAACGTTGGTGTCTGAAAAACCACAGTACATATTCAACTGCGCAATACTAAAGACTTAAGAAAAAAAAGGGTGCGTGTACTTATGTACGAGCGTAAGAAGTTATACTTCTTTGGCATTATTAAAAATAGTTTTTGATTGCATGCAAATAATTAATTACAATTAAATTATCAAAGACTGGAAAAGGAGTCATTATAGTCAATAAAGTTCAGTTTACATTTGAAGAATTAAATAAATAAATATTTATTATTATTCTCTTACATTACATGATTCTTTTTACATTGTAATTGTTTACGTTGGGTTAGAATATTAAACACTTCTATGTTCCTTATTTAAAGTAACATATTACAAGTAACGGGCTATTTACCGATAAGTAGCGTATCGACTCAATGTAGGTTTTGGCCATAGAAACAAAAATCTATTTGCGACTATCCTATTCTAATGCTTGCTAATCAGCTAATTGGAGCTCGCGCAGATCACGGCATTTTTTCAGCGTTTCCGGCTGATGGTGGCCAATCGTGGCGTAACTATACCATCTGGGGCCCGTGGCAAATTACTTTAATGGGGCCCTTTCAGTAAAAATCCTCACGTTGTACTCAGTTTAATTTTAATAAACTCTGAGATTTTCAGCGTACCCAATTACACGTTGTTAGTGTGTAAGTTATTATAATACAGTGCGTGAATACGCTGTGAAAGTTTTCAACATACAAGAGATCGAAGTTACCTTACCGTAATGTTGTCACTGTCCCTCAGTACTCAATAAATTAAAGATTTTAATAATAAAGTGTTATGAAGATAAACTATGCTTGTTTATAAATTCTTCAAAAACAAATACAGTACTAAGGCTTTTAGGCTTTTCTTTTTAAAATACATATAATATGCTCTCAAGTGTAAGGAGACACTTATTATAAAACTAAATACGTATTTATAAAACGACTCGCCGATTTAACATAATGTCCAAATCAATATGGCGCCGTGATCATTAAGATGCCTTCCTTTAGATTATTAACAGCCAGAGAGATAAAGGAAATTTATAACTGACATTACAAATTTGAAAGGAAATTGGAAACGAAATCGATTGGTAAGACTAATTTGTGTTTCTAGTCTATGGTCTTCTAAATAAATTTTCATAAATTATTCAAATACAGTGAAAATAATGAATTCATTCCAAATTGAAATACAAAGTATTTATATATACATTATTATATATACATAAACAACAGTTAAGAAACTAATGTTTATTCTTTTAATATGAAGATCCCTTTCTATTTACTACATTGAAATTAACCTTAATTAACAACGGTAAATGCTACATATACACTTAGCTATAGACTTATGAGTTTATAATATTGTTACTATATTCAAAAGAACTTAATCATTTTCTATACGATGTTTATTAAGGTTCGTCTTCTAGTTATACGAACGCGTAGTATATTTATAATACAATCGACGATTTAGCATTAAACACTAAAATTGGGGATTTTTCCAAGCTTTTTTGAACTTACACACACACAGCTTACGTGTATAATGTTCACTATCGCAGGTACATGAAAGAATACAGATCAGACAATTAAAATACGACTGTTAAAATGTCAACAGGTCAAAACAAATAAGGCCATTTGATGAATACCCCTTACGAAATTCCGAGTCTTTAAATTATCATTTCATTGAATAAAGTGCGTAGTATCAAAATGACAGAACACAAACGAACAGAATCGAAACTAAGTGAAACATTTCTTGCTTTTGAAAAAAAATTAGGATTTCAAAATGATGTTAAGTGGACAACAGCTATTGCTTTAGTATTATATCACTTGGTTGCGATATATTGGTGTTATAATTATGCTTTTCCAGTCAAATGGCAAACTGTTTTATTTGGTGAGTAATTCTTATGTTATTTTTAATGTTAATGATGTCGGAATGGAAATCGTGCAATGGTTTATATTAGTCTGGATTTGATTGTTTTTTCTTTTCATTTAGTAACATTCAAAATAACAGACATTACACCATCGCGCGCCCAAAGCGAGCCCTGCTATAGTTAAAAAATAATTATTTAATAAGATAGTGCCATAAAAATGGCATACTTTATGTATTTCACTAACAAATACTAATTGATGATCTTTGGTGCTTTCTTGCTTTCTGTAATATAATAAATATAAATTATAAAAGTGCAAATACATAAAAATTTTAATAACCGCTATAGAGTAGGAAATTGCTATTCATTCAATCACGGTTATATTAGGAGATAATAAACATGAAGCAAGCTCTATTTCACCCGCTTATTATTTCAAGCCAACTATCGACAATAGGGTTTTGCCATGGAATTTGCATTTGCATAATATGATCCATTAACATTTCTGAGCTTTCAGTTAATGTGAAACATATTGTCATAATTTTAAATATATATATATATCTATCCGTGCGTAGTCAATATATGTTAATAGCAGTAAAATGTAAATTACAAAAGCAATGATAAATTTAAACACATTTCTTAAATGCACCATTCCTAAGATTTTTCTAAAGATCTTCTTCTTCTTCTTCTTCTTCTTCAGTTAGACAACTATTCTAAATGGCCGTATCATCACATCACACCACATCATACACAATGCAAACCTACATAACATAAGCTACCCAAAAAACGCACTTTCTTCGCCCAACGCTTTTTCTCTTTTAGGCCCTTTCATATTTTATTACTTTCTTTAAAAAAATCGTTAGGGATATTCCCTATCGATTCTAAACTTTATACATTCACTAAAATCTTAAGCAACATCCTCTAAACCTGAAACCGAAAGTATTCTTCTAGTGCAACAGTACTTTAATTATTAAATTGTAAGTATTATGTAGAATTTATTTCATCAAGTACCAAAAATCGTTAATATGTCAAATGGAAGAGGCTAGCTGCCCACGACACGGCATCATACTGTGGGGGCTGGTGCACATTCTCCTTTTAATAGACATTCTTTTTTATTATCTGTAATAAAGTGTTTTTCTTTCTTTAATTATCTTCACAAATATAGCCAAAGAAAATCTCAACTCAACAACGCACATATTTTAAACTCAATATGTTTTCAGCGGTGTGTATGTATGTGTTTACGGGTTTTGGAATCACTGGTGGAGCGCATAGATTATGGACACATAAGGCTTATAAAGCAAAACTACCAGTGAAGATATTATTGCTTCTTGCATTTGCAGCCGCTGGCCAAGTAAGTTATATATTACATCTTAAGAACAAATAAAAATAACTTCTGAATTTTGCCCTGAATTTTTCCACATTCATTTAAGTCCATATAAGCACTACACAAAGCAAGCTTTAAAACCAGATATTAACTATGTTATTAAAGAAATTGTTTATGTAAAGATATTGTGATGAACGAATTTCGCAAATTTATTTTGAAGCACGTCAAATTATATATTCAATATTTAATGAGCGTTATGAAATCGGCCGTTGGCAGCAACAGCTGTGCTTACAGTTTAATTAAATAAGAAATAAACCGACGTAATATTTTTGCCAGCATCTGTCCTGTACGTTATTACATGCAAAGTATCTCGCCAGCCCAAAATTTTGATTCCGAAATCCTTATTACAAGAACCGGTTTCAACCTCATAATCTTGAAATAAAATCTTTCATTAAGTACACCACATCAGCTGTATTATGAAAGATGTTTTGGTAGTTAATGTGACAAAATAAATATAATATATACGAACGTCACTGCTGATGTGGTGAACGTCTTAATTTAATTTAACAAATAGCTGTACTGTGGCTGTAATTTTTTTACATAAATCTTATACAGATAACAGAATTGTATTTTTCATTACCTTTAGTACCTACCCCCACTGAGAATACCCTATTATAACTAACTGCCTCATTTAATAAGTGATCTTGTTGGACTGTAGATTGCGAGGCTTCGCTACTCGGGTGGTACTGAAAATGTATACACACGCCTTTTAAATTTTTGTAAGAATTTTTTTATAGCCAAGTTTGGGAATTGGTGGCGTTCAATCACGCCGGTCCCTCGGATGAGCACGTAAAGCTGTCCGTCCTGCGCCTAATTATATATGGTAAAAAATATAAGCGATGTGTCGTTATTTACAGAATATTTATGAGATTATTTATTCATCAAGTAGCCATTTGTCAGTCTAACAATTTCATCAACAAAATTCGATCAGATGTCTAGAATATTATAAACGTTTTAATTTAACACCGGTCATATTTTCCAGAACTCCTTAGAACAATGGGTGCGAGATCACCGAGTTCATCACAAATACAGTGACACGGACGCAGATCCCCACAATGCAAACCGAGGCTTATTCTTCTCACATATCGGCTGGCTGATGTTGAAAAAAAACGACCAAGTCATTTTACGTGGAAAGCAGCTGGATATGAGCGATATTACCGGTGATCCTTTGTTGCGGTTTTATAATAGGTACAGAATGGAAGTTAATTAAATTAAATTAATTATTTTTATACTTCAGGCATCAACGCTGTAAAAAAGAGACTAAGTAGACTTTGGACCTTTATATCTTTCGTTTCATTTGACCATTAGTTAAAAGTTAAATAAACTGCCGCAATATGTCCTGTAGTTAAACTTTTCATCATAAATAAAAAAATTGTCTTCTATACATGAACATCTAATGTCCACTTGAATTTTAATTAAAATAATTTAGTGGAGAAAAAATACTTTCGTACGTATACGATTAATTTGTTTTGTTAATTTTTGTATAGGTATATTTAGCTCAAATGAATGGACTAATTATATACCACACACCATTGTGTTTTAAATAAACACTAACATTTAACATCTAGTTTTTGTTTAGTGTTCTATTTGTATTTCTATTGTATGGTTTATCTTGTTGCAGATATTTCTCGTACTTAAAATTATTAATGTGCTTCATCCTACCTATTACAATATCATTATACTTTTGGGATGAAAGTTGGCGATGTGCTATAGCGTGGCAGTGGTTCTTGCGGTTCCTTGGAATGTTTCACAGTGAACTGACTGTCAACAGCCTGGCGCACACTTATGGATATAAGACTTATAATAAGTAAGTTTAATTTAGGTTATGTAAAGAAATATTAAAACTCTATAGGCACTTTAGTTAAGGCACTTCGTGTGATTTTCCTGGGAACACAAAACACAGCTAAAACGCATTTTGTAAGCTCTTTTATAAAGAAGAAAATACATATGTATTATCAATCTGCTAGATAAATATTACTAGGTACATACATAGGTGGCGTTATTACTAAATTTGCGATTTATTTCAGAAATATAATTCCACGTGAGAATCGCTTTGTGGCAACAGTAACATTAGGCGAGGGCTGGCACAACTATCACCACGTCTTCCCTTTCGACTACAAAGCAGCAGAGCATTTCGATTTCTTTAACTTTACGTCATTCTTCATTCGATGTTTCTATAAAATGGGTCTAGTCTATGATTTGAAAGAAGCCACCCCTGATATGATCAATGCCACAGCCAAGAGATTAGGGGATGGGACACCAGTACATTTCCCAATTTACGAAAATAGTTAAATATAAAATGAAGAATATATACATTTATTTAACTATTTAAATAATAAGAAACAATAGTTTTTATAATATGAATAAAAATATATTTAACAAGCCGGTATTTAACAACATTACTAAAATAAAATTGAATCGCAAAATATGTTGGTAAGAACAAAACTCAAAGACTAAGGCTGGACGAAGGTTCTTATAGAGAGAAAACTATAATAACATTGAAAAATTTAGTTTTATTTACTACTTAGGTTTTTATCCGGAAAATCGAAGTCTCTTAGGGGTATCATAGCAACATAGTTCATATATTGGTATGTAGTTACTAAAAAAACAAAGTAAAAAAAACATTAAGGCAAAACGAAGTTTGAGGAGCCAGCTAGTACACACTAAATAAAGATATTAATAATTTACAACAAATATTATCAAATAACTATTAATGTATGAATAATTTTCTATATCCGTCTATCAAACAAACAAATTAAAAGCTTACACGTGATTTACGGTTATATTATTGTTCCAAAATAATAAAGATCGTACAATCTTTTATAAATTGTAGTATTAAATATGCATAACAGCAAAAACCGCACGTGAAAATGAAACGTAGGTATGTAAATATCTCAAAATTATGCAGTTATGATAAATCGCTGACGTGTCTAATTTAAAATCTAGTTACGGCTTGCATTTCAATGAGCTTCGCGAGTAAAAGTTTGATAACATTTAGATTTAGGGACGTTCTAGCGGTTTTGTATGTGGGACTAAGGGTAAGAGTCTTAGAGAAGAGACTTAGCGCGAGCTATGACCAATACATGTTTGATATACGGGAGTCATACATTGTCTCTACTCAGAATCTTACCTTAAATACCCATAACAAGGCGGCTTACCGATCAATTATTTAAAGCAATATCGATGAGCTGCTTAGCTGCTTGCTTACTGGTAGTCTTATGACATTTACCCGTTCGTCATGCTGCAGGCGTTATCCACCGTCACGGCGGCTCATAGGATGCATTCTGTAATTATCCATTCAACCTCTTCTCGCTTGTTAAGGTGCGCATACACGGGCAACTAAAATTGCTCAATTCCAGTCAATACTCGTCAACTATGACGTCACGACTACATCAAGCAATTACGGCAACGGCAACAAGCATCAATACTGCGCAATACAATATTGAGCGATATGGCGCAACTTCATCAACTAGGCAATACTGTCCTACACGAGCATTTCAGTATTCGCTCGCTATGGACGACATTGTTCTTGCTGCGACGGCTTGTAGCGCTTTTTTATTATTAATCAAAAACAAAAAAGAAAGAAAAGGAATAGGCGTATCTGGGTGCGATCGTTTTTGGCCGCAATTTTCATTGTGTAAAGAATTAGATGAAATACTATTCAAAAACTTTACTAGAATGTCACAAACAGACTTTGAATTACTTTTGAATAAAGTTATTAGAAATTATTATTATTTAGACCTCTCGCTCTCCCCGCGAAATTATTTATTGCCCTCGTGTAAGCGCACCTTTAGATATCAAAAACACGAACACGAACAAAACTATTTTTTAGGCGCAAAAAGTGTACTTATCTATATGATTTTTAACGTCAACCTATGTCGTATTGACATTTTAACGGCATAATAATTTTTTTATTTACACTTTTGTAGGCATTTTTTATATTTTTTGATTTTACTGTACTGTTTATAAAACTTTTATTTTAATTTTATAATAAAAATGCCAATCGACTACACAAATCCCAACGTGCTTAAGTTTGTAATAGAAAATTTCACCAAAGAAAATGAGCGACGAATATTGTGGTTCAACAAAAATAAGGAAAAAATCTTAAAGGCAGCTGAACATAACAAGCCAACAAAATATTGCGTTGAAGACGTTTCTAGAGCAAATATAGAACCATGTATACAGTCTTTATCCTTACATCATGAGAGTAGTAACGTAAATCGAAGGCGAAAACCTATACGAGACGGCAAAATAAACTTATCAGCAAAGTATAGTCCTCGAATAAAGGCGAAGTTAAGTAAGGAGGTCGAAATGATGGACGTAAAACAAATACCTAACTCGATTATGATGCCTGTCGAAGAAAACGTGTCAAAAGTACTCCACGAAAGCCAGCCGGACGGAGGTCGGCTCCAATATCTCAGGAAGAGGGCTAGAAAAATACCTGAGGAGCGATATTATTTCTGCGAAACTAGCAATAATACGTGTGGGTGGAAGTTGAATGAAAGTAAGATGGAGTACTGTCACTCAAACAGACGTGTCTATACTTATAAAAGAGATGTATTAGCTCGCTCGGGACCTCAACCTGATCCTGATTACTATGGTCAACCTCTAATGACAAAGAACTTTAAATGTTCTATTTAAAATCATTAGACAGCTACAATAAATAGTGTCTGGGAAAGTTTATGCGTTATATTTTTGGTATTTTTGACCTTTAATGAACAAAGATTACAGTAATTATAAATGATTATAAAATATTTTCATTCATGTTTTAAGTAGTCAATCCATCTGAAACAATTTTAAAGGAACGGCTCAAAAAGTTAATAAAAAGTACATTGATTTACAAATTTAAAGGTAAGATTCGGATACTAGTTAATAGCAGTCAAAGGTTAATATTCAGATACATATATGTAGGCGTGAACTTTCGCGTCCTTCTGTCAATAGCTTTACATTCTACGGCTATTATTATTATTATTGAGGCTTGTTTCTAAATCTTATGAAAGTGGCCACGGTAACACAGTTTTATTTGGAGTAGAAAATAAAATTATGTTTCCTTCGCTTCCAGAAACTTTAATCTTGGTCCAAAAATATTCAAAGTACATATCACGTTCACAGCGACTTCTTTATTTTGACACTGTAGGTAATAATCTTCATCTCGCCTTGATAAACTTAAATTAGTAATTTTAAGTGCTAAAGTTCTTCTATAACTTTACAGAGTTGATCAATCTTTAAATCTACCCGCCTCGATGGGATCCTAATTTGCATTTTTATGTCAGTTTTGTACTTGTATTATCTGAAGTTCTTATCTCACTAGGGTTTTAGGATGTCCTCTACTCAGATAAGTACTTAATAATTGCCTCTTTACTTCTGCTTCCCTTCAATCTGAGTCAGCAACGGCCTTGGTTTCACCTTAATACTTTTGTACTGACTAAGCAACTTAGACTGAATTGTCACTAATCCGTAAACGAAATATGGATCTAAATAATAATAGAAATTAAATAACTATTATTATATATTATTGTAATTGTAAGAACCTATATGAGAATGTCTGCGCATTTTCATTTTATTGTTTATATAAGGCACAAACTTTATACAATCAAATTATGTAATGTATCCAGAAATTGAATTGAATTGTCGTTGTATCAATGAAAAGAACAAGGGCGAAGGTCGCTAAATTTGCTTTAGAAAGCTAAGGTAATTCAATAGACTGAAATTAGAAATTAGAATATTTTATCTAGCACTTCGTCAGTCCATTATAACAAACATACTGACTACCTGCATGGGGAGGAACGGCTGAATCTTCACTGATTAACCTGAAACGTGTAGAGCAATTATTGTTAAAGTTGACTATCGCAGTCTTTTTAAATATCTCACAGTCAAACTCCACCTAAATACAAAAACCTATTCAGTAACAAAGCTGTACACCTAAGCAATCTGTTTGAGATATCAAAAACTCCATGGACTAATAAATCCGGACGCACCTCAGAACAAACGTTTTGTATACCCCACGCCAAAGCGAAGGTCTGTTGCGCCAACGCTTTTTTGCATTTCGGGGCTCCTTTATAACAGAATCTCCCATTGTATGGATTCTGAGATACTCAAACTATCTAGATATACATATAAAAATTACGCTAGCCGAATTGGATTTTGATTCTCCAGAGGCCTTACTAAGTATTTTGGCATAACTCTAGGGTTCCAAAAACTAACACAGATACAGACTTTTAACAACTCTTAGCCACACTCTCAGATTCACACACATCCATTCACATACTGATACATTCACGTATAATAAAGGTCTTACACGACTTGTGTTTGATGAGATGTAACACTAAACATTGTTTTAAACATGCACCATATACCACGGAATAATTGTAGTTACCCACACCAAAGGGGCTCCCTAATGTGGGGACTAGCAATAGATGAATTTTGTTACTACCATATTTCTGCATGAATAAAAGTTTTAAATAAAAGTAAATAAATAAAATAGCATTTATCTTAGAGTAAAATCATCTTTATTGAACACATCTTATAAGATAAAAGTGTATATTTAGAACACTTTTATCTCAAATCTGAAGACTATGTGGTATGTTTTCTTCTAGCAGAGGGCTTTTCAAAGATCTGTTTCAAGCCTCCTCTGAAGTTAGCCAGTCTAGCCGCAGCACCTTCATTGCTCCATGCAGAATCGAATTCTGTAGTGTCTTGGTCGACCAAGTGAGTGTATTTTGTGCGACCAGAACGTCCAAATTTCTTCACTTGCATCACCTGATTTAATTTAAATGTTAATTATTATTTAAGATGATGAATTATGATGACAATGATACCATTTTTTTAACTATGGCTTTTACTTTTATATAGAGTAAAACATTTGTTTTATTTCTTGGGAGTCATTAATGCTCTTAGAAATAAAAAGTGTGAAATGATTTCCCGCCAGACAACGTCACTAAAGTCAAATGTGAGCCATGTTTTATACTAGATTCATTTACGCTTACTTATAACGGAGTGTAAAATTTAGAATTTTCATATGCTAATAAATTCTTTTTTTTAAATGGCTCGAAATTCAAAGAAATTACTCCGTATACCTACAATATGTCATTTTTTTAAATATGGAAATATCCTTTTGCGCAAATGGATCTATATAGGTATATTATTTCTATTCAATCATAATAAACTTTTTTCGACAAACGATTTTCTTTAATTACAACCGTCAACGTTTACAATATGTGAACAAGAAAACATGTATAATTAACATATTATATCAGTTTTTTGAAAAAACATTGTTCTAATTTAATGCACTGCTAACGTGTCCTTGATTTGTATATATGGTTAGGGGAAATTATAAAAGTTAAAATTAACGTAAAATAAGTCATTACTGAATTAATTAAAACATACCTTTGGTAGAACAGTCTTGTCAAAGTGATCGTCCAATGTCGCTCCAGAAAAATCTTGTTTGAACACTTCTTCTTCTTTATCCAAATAGAAAGCACCCCTGGAAAATATATGCGCAAAGTCTAAATATATTACTAACAATGTTAATCCGAATGTAAGGTTATATCGTATGATGACTTTAAAACAAAAGGCCGATATTTTTTTCGTAATTACAAGCAGAAAAGCTTTACTACTATAAACTATTTTTCAATAATTTTTTTTTTTTAATATTAAAAAGGTCTATCTAGATCATGGAGCATTGTTTACATTAATTGCAAAGTTAATGTAAACAATGACAATACTAGATTTGTGTCATATGATATAAAATATAATAATAAAAATAAAAAATTGCAGTTGAATTTTTTACAAGACAATAACTTACCGGTGATAATACTTCTGCAAGAACTTGTATTTCCCTTTCACAGCCTTGTTAGTTACAACTTTTGGATTGAGACGTTGCTCCGCGCGTCGCTCTTCCTCCGTCATATTTCGCATACGCTCGATGTGCATCAACTCTTTCTCGATACTGAAACATTTAATTGTATGTAACTTAGAAACAAACAAGTCGTGGAGCGACATCTACAATCAGTACGATGACGTCATAACCTCATTGGCACTATCAGACCGCTAAGCTTCTTGACCTTCTATAACTTAGCGAGCGGGAACCTTAACTCCTAGGGAAGACCACATTGACCTGATTCACCAGTTCCATAATTAAAGGGCTTGTTAATCAAATGCGGAAGATCACCGCCATTACTCAAATAGTTATTACGGCTCATCAAATTAAAATCAAATCAAAAATGTTTATTGTGTCTCAAATGTTACATTAAATACATGAGTTGAGACAGCCCCCGTAAGTATTCAGAGACACTTGTGTTGGGGTATATGGCCTCATGCGGTCATAGAATTATTCGGTTAAAAAATCAATTCATCAGAACTGTCAACTTGTAAAAGACGCATAGTGACACGACGTGCATGCATAGATAAAGAGAATCAGATCCGCAATTTGAGTTTGAAAATTAGACATGTCGGTCGCCCGCAAATAAGTAAAAAAAATATATGTTACGAAGCCCCGACTAGTTAATAAATCATGCAGAACTAATGAATTTATTTTCGAAGAATTTATTGTTTCATTTTTTTTTTATAAGTATGATTTAGTTTCATTTTAATACTTACGCTTCACGTTCTTCCTTATCGCGTTTGATGCGTTTCATTTCACGTAATTTCCAAGCTTCGTATTCTAGCTCGTCATTTTCATCGTCCGTGCACACGTCTTCGATATTCGCTTCTTTAGCTTCCGCCTTAAAAAATTATTTATTAAAGTTAATATTTTTATTAGTATGTCGTGATGTGATATATATACAATATATTTGATTAGGAACGTATTATATATGTTAATAATATTGGAACGAAGTTCCTTATCGCGCGTTGTGAAAGGGGGCTAGACGGAAAAAAATCTTACGAAAAGTTGTCACGACACTTTTTTGCTATTTGCTATTGTAATACACCGGTTCTCGTCCGATCACCGAAGTTAAGCAACGTCGGGCGAGGTCAGTACTTGGATGGGTGACCGCCTGAGAACACCTCGTGATGTTGGCTTTTTTTTTCGTCGTAAGATTGGTGTCGAGAAAATCTATCATACTGTTATGATACCAATTAACATATAAATTAATCGAAAGGAATTTCGTTCCATCCGGGTGTCCCTTGACACCTCTAAAGTTTTTTCTTTTGTTTTGGGTGACTCTATGTTGCGCTGAATTTTGTACATTTGTGTGTAGAACCACTATAAAATAAAGGCAACTCATTATATTGGTCCGATATTAGTAACTTGCCAAGGAATTTCATATTATGAGTGATTAGCGACGTACCTTTACGTCTTAAACTAGACCGAGTAGGCAAAATATTAAAACTATAAGCTTATTGATTAGCAAAAACACTGTAAATACTTATATTGATTTTGATTGGTTGTCTCTATGGATATAAAAGCACTAATTACGTGAACATTGCAATTTACGGATATCCGTAAATTGTCCAAATCTAACAACCTTTGACGATCAGTTGATCGAAACAAGTTATTTTTATTCCAATAGTTTTAACAGGCGACCCGTGTCAAGTTACATTGAATAGTATTTAACAATATCAACAACCGTAAAATAAAACTAAACACGACGATTTGGTTTCTTTGAAGTCAGTTAAAAATCTAAATATGTTTATCAAAAGCAAACACAAACCAAACATTTCCAACCAATGACAGGAAAGATTTAAAAAAATATAAGGTAATTAATGGTATTTGATTGGTGTGATTCTCTGCGAGCGTTGAAACAATATCCAAATATAACAAAAAACAACTTTCAGAATTACAAACCTGAGTATTCCTCTGTTCTGCGCGTATTGTCTCTTCCACAAGTTTGAGAGCCTCACGTCTCCTTTCCTCTTTCTCTCTTCGAGCCTCTACTTCTTCTTTCTTTTGAACCTTTACTTTTCTCTCCCTTTCTGCTACCGTCATACGATCTGATGCCCTTACAAACACTGGTTTGACTCGTGGTCCTGTTAATAATATACAGATAAAACCTTAACACTAATGTTTTTAATAATTTACTATCCACCACTGTCCTATAAGACCGGCAACGCACTCGCTTTTCACAAAAAGCCATTGTAAATTGGCTATATTTCATCTGATTTAATAACCAGTAGGTTTGGCACAATGACCTTAAGCATTCGTTGGCACTAAACGGAAGCACGGACATGCATTGTTTGAATACGTGCCATTATATAGAAAGATGATATCGACATCCTAAGGGTTCTGAAATTAAAGAAATACTAACCAGTTTCCTCTTCACTATCTGTGTACTCAGTGTCTGACGACCCACTTTCCTCCTTGTCACCTTCCAACATTTCTTCTTCTTCATCTCTACCAAGAGCTTCTTTCTCTGCTTCTCTACAATTGGAATTTTCAAGTATCAATGTCAACGATATTAGAATATTTTTATTAGATTGTATCTATTTCTTTGAAGTTTTATTTTTAAGACAAGTAGGTCGATCGATGTTTGGGTCTAATTTCCGTTTTCCTCACATGAGTTTTGTCTAATACTCGCAAGTTTTAATTGAGCATATAGAAAGAAAAAGCCATAATAAACTGCCGGGATTCCAACCCATGACATCAGCATGGAGAGTCGCACTTTTGTGTGAGGGAAGAAGATTAAGATAAAAAACAAACAAAACTCACACACACATGTAGCAAACATGCAATGCCTATATTTACTCCCCTTCTATTTCATGTCGTAAACAGTTTATGGTATGGCTATCAATATATTGGATAAAGAAAGTTTAATTAAAAAAGAGACCAGCAAACATAGTTAAATACCTTGCAGCCAGTTTAGCCCTAACTGCTTGACGACGCCTCTCAATCTCTTCTTCATCAAGATCATCTTCACTTTCTGAACTGTGCTTCGCCTCATCACTCGACTCCGGTTCTGGTTCGTCAGGTTCAGCATCAATTACTTCTGGCCTATGCTCAGAGCGACGTGGAGGTGACTTTACTGCCTGACGTAGACGACGCAATCGGGGATCATCTACCTGGAAATACGAATTTATTCTTAAACCGGTATAGCTTCTGCTATGTGGTTATTTAAGAAAGTAAAAAATTATGTTAGTATATGAAATCCTACCTTTTTTTCTGAAATATCTTGTTTTTTTTTAATTGTTTAGTTTAATTAATAGTTTTTAATTAATCTCCAAATTGCTACACTGCATTGTACTTATGTTATTTTAAAACATTTCAAGTTGGTAAATGTAATAGTTGGACTTTAAAAAGTTTCACTTTATTTTCTATATAAAGAAAAAAAAATACAAACACACTGTTGTTTTAATTTTTTTGTATATATGTACATTAATGAAAAGTGTTATTTTGTGAATAAGGCAGAGCTATTTGGGACTTAATGCAATAATGATTTTTATACCAAACTATTTTAGAATATACTCAAAATAATGTAAATAATATCATGTTACATACATTTTCAATTTATTTTCAAGAATTAGATGTTTTGAGTAATAGATTAGAAGCTATTTCATAGACATAAGAGAAACGTAGAAATTTTAAATTGCCATGTAACATAAAATTGGGTAACAAATGTGTGAGGATAATGGAAGATAAAAATCATTCTAGACAGTGTGTAACAGTGTGTGTTTTTTACAGTATTTTGTACGGTATAAAAGTATGTCAAAAGCGATAAAGTGCAAAAGGAAAATATAGCAAAAAGCAAACTATCAGTGTGGTAAATGTTAATTGTAGTCATTAGTGTAAGTGCAGACTTTCTGTAATTCAATATTTAATTTTTACAGTAGTAAAACAACTTTCCTTATATTATTTAGACAGCAGGGTACATAATAATAAATATAATTATAAAATATTTATTGTGTACTTACTTCATTATCAGAATCACTTTTTTCATCCTTTCCAGTAACTTGTGCAAGTTGATGTTTCCTATCAGGTCTCTGCTGTTCTATGAAGTCCTCTGTATCTGATTCATCAGATGATGTCACTCCTTGTGCATAATCAGGCTTTTTCCCTGATATATATCTTTGTACTTTCACCTTTTGCATAGATATTTCACCTTAAACATAAAATCATTTAAGGAAGTTAATTCCATTGTATAGTTTATACAAGAGCCAATATGTAATTTAAATGTTTATATAGTAGAAAAGTGCTTCGCATCTGTATCTCAAGGCGGAGTTCTGGATTTCAGGTGGGAACTTGCATAGGATAGATCAATTTAACTGAGGCTTCACCGCCTGTAGGCGTAAGTCATACCTTTTTCATTTCGAATTGGAACTGCGCCGGCGGTACTCTGAATACCTGTAGGCTGTGCTGGTAAAACATTAGTAGACATCGTAAATTGTGCAGCTTGATCATAAATATATAAACAAATTTAAAAATTGAATATTGCTAAATTGTACTTATTTTATCAAAGTTTTTAACTAATTATTGCTTTATATACATTAGGTTTTTTAACCATTTATTTCCAGTCCATAATAATATTATAGAAAATAATTATTATTTAAAACTGGATATGACAAATTTAAATTAATATGACAACCATGAACCATGATAATTGACATCTATGGTCACAGATCACACATGAGGTAGTAATATCATTTTCATCGGTGGCATTGGCCTGGTTTATTCTGCGTTTTTATGATTATTATAAATCTGTGATCATTTCCACATATCAATAATCAAGCAGAGGTAAAATCATTAGAATTATTTTCTACCTTTGGTTTGTTTCTGATTTTCGAATGTATAGAAAAAAATATCTTGATATTATCATTGATGATTTAATTAGTATAAGTTAATATTTTTAAACTTGTTTGTTAATTTTAAAAACCTTAAATGTTATGTTTTTACATTGCTTATCAAGTATAGCTGACCTTCGAAACATTAATTATCTAAGATAAAATGTAATGTCACAGTAAATTGAATACAAAAATGGATTAATAAGTTATATATTACTGACAACACATTATTGATCGCAATTTACAAAAATTTATTTATAAACGCTATGAACGTTATACGTTTGATTGACTAGCAGAAATCAAGTTCTTTTGAGGTAGAGTGGTAGAGATGTGTGTTTATATGACTTAGTAACCAGTGGTCATGTTTTTTATATCATAAAAGTTTTTTTCATTTTAGGTTACTATATTTACTTTTTAATAAAAATGGATTCTACAGAAAAACAGAATATCAAAAGTATTGATGAAATTATAGTAAAATCTTTGAACAATGAAGAATTGCAAGAGTTTAACAGAATTTATTATGGACGAGTAGATCAACACCATCTTGCCTTAAAAGAATCTAGTATGAAATTGGCTGCTTCGAACCATTTTGAAATTTCGGGATATGATTTTCCGGGGCGTTTAGAGGAAACAAGATCTCCTAGAAAAATTAGGATTGGTGTTATACAGCATTCTATTGCAATTTCCACAAATAAACCTATAAAGCAACAAAGGGAGGCAATATTTAATAAAGTTTCAAAGTTAATAGATGCAGCTGGTGAAGAACGTGTGAATGTTTTATGTTTACAGGAAGCTTGGAGCATGCCATTCGCGTTTTGTACCCGTGAAAAGACTCCTTGGTGTGAATTTGCTGAAAATATTACAGATGGTCTTAGCACACAATTTCTCAAACCTTTTGCCATTAAGTATAAGATGGTTATTATATCACCCATTCTGGAAAGAGATGAGTTGCGAGGAGATCTTATTTGGAATACTGCTGTAGTTATAAATGAAAAGGGAATAGTAATGGGTAGCCATAGAAAAAATCATATCCCTAGAGTTGGTGATTTTAATGAATCAACATATTATTTTGAAGGCAACACTGGCCATCCTGTCTTTGATACAAAATATGGAAGAATTGCTATTAATATTTGTTATGGAAGGCACCATCCCTTAAACTGGTTAATGTTTGGACTTAATGGTGCTGAAGTAGTCTTTAATCCATCTGCTACTGTTTCGGGTTTAAGTGAACATCTTTGGGCAATTGAAGCAAGAAATGCTGCTATAGCCAACAGTTATTTTACATGTGCTGTAAACAGAGTTGGAACAGAAGTTTTTCCAAATGAATTTACATCTGGAGATGGAAAACAAGCTCATAATGATTTTGGGCATTTTTATGGTTCTAGCTATGTCACAGCACCTGATGGTACTAGAACTCCAAGCTTGTCAAGAACCATGGATGGTCTATTAATTTCACAGATTGACTTGAACATGTGTCGGCAAATAAAAGACAAATGGGGATTCGCTATGACACAGCGATTAGACATGTATGCTAGAAGTTTGTCTAATTATGTTGATGGCAAAGAACTACAATTAGTTAAGGATAAATAAATGTTTAGTGTTGATAACTATTGTAACATATGTAAAGCTATTTAAGAAATACTATTAATATAACAAAATATTTTATTACTGTTTTCTAATGAAACAATTATTGCTGCATACTTTAATATATTTGTTACTATTCAATTAATGTTTTTTTTCTTCAATTGAACATTGAAATTATTTTTCTCTCTACTTTTATGCTTATTAAGTGATGATGGTTTATTAAATATTTGTTATTTAAAATTTTAGGGTTTGGAAATAAAACATCATTTGTAAAACATTGTGTACCAATGAGAATATTACAGATGAAACTATACATTATTTAAGTTACAATGGGGTACATTCAGGCTTTCACATTTAACAATTTTAAAAAATATCAAGTATAGGAACACAATATTCAGTAGAATTGGATGATTAATTACCCTGACAATAAAGAATTATATAAACATATTGCATTTATATTTCTAATAGCTTTTTAAATAAATTTGATGATTATAAGTAATATACTGAAAACAATACATATATTTATAAATTAACAAAATTAGGAGACAGGCATAACTAAGTGTATTCAATAAATTACACATTGTATTATGCCCTTTTTCACAATAAAAAGTAGATTGTAGCTTAGTTTAAAAAATTTAAAGAACACATACTCAAGCACCAAGTCTCATACATGATGGGTTATTAAGAATAATTTTACTACACAGTATTTTAGACCATCAAATTAATAGAAATCCACTGTATGTACCCCAAATCCTGGATTTAAAATTTTTATTATTACTATGTACTAATACTCTATGCAGTCTTTGCACGTATTGCTGCTCTCTTACCAGTAACAGCCTGAAAACCAGATTTAATACTAGCAACAGAGCAACGGGATCCACAAGTTTCACATTGAAGGAAGAAAAGTCGAGTATCTTTTTGAAGGATTGTATCAGGTGAGCGACATGTATGGCAAGTAACATATTCCTTAATATATCGACGCAGGACATTCTCAATTTGTTTTTGTTGAAAACGACCTTTAATAATTAGCTGGCTGTTACCATCCACAGAGCCACTTGTTCCTAACTCTGCCAGCAGAAAGTCTAACAAATGCTTAGGCTGTCTATGCAATGTTTTACATATTTCTGTGAAATTAGCAAATGAAGTTTTCTTTGTTCCAATTCTAACTACCTGTGGTGGACGCATTATGAACTTTTGTTTTTTTCCAGAAACCATGCTGGGGTTCTTTTCTCGCATGATATCAAAGACCCTCTCAAGAAGTTCATCATAAGTGTAATCACGATCGCTACCATGCCATTCCCCATTTTGATCCTCTTCTCTCTCAGGGTCTTCTCCAGCTTTGACATCTTCTTCGCCAACAATCTCATCTAAGTTTCTCTTCTTTTTCTTTTTCTTTGTTCTAGTGTAATCTATATCCAGATCTAAATCATCAATAAGCTCCTCGTCTTGATGTTCAGGCTCCTCTGCAGGTAGTTTTTCATCTTTTGCTTCCGGTAAAGCATTGTCTAATTCATCTAGATTAAAGAATGTCTTCTTTTTCTTCTTCTTCTTCTTTCCGAAATTATCTAAGTCCAAGCTATCGTCTTCTGGTACGTCGACGTCACCCGTTTCAGCAGGTACGTCTGCACTCGTGGTTTCACTCAGCTCACCGGCCATCGCTGCTTCCATATCAAAACCAGTCTTCTTTTTCTTCTTCTTCTTTAAAGAGGGATCGAAAATCATATCGTCATCCATGATTTGCAACAATATTTTACCAATTACTAATAAATCTTGGTTAGGATTAGTTTGGTTTGGCAGGTGGTTCTGAAAATGACAAAATGTTGCATCAGCATCACAGATTTAGTATAATCAACAGAGTACAGACTAGATAAGACAGAACAATATCAACTTTTAGATTTGTATGTTCAATTTTTTAAATTTTGCACTTTGCTTGTGATTCGTAAGAAACCTAAAATTGAAAACAGGGGTATAAAAAAGTGAAGTTTGAGATAATTTATATTATCTATTTACTCAATTTTTAATTGAAGAAACATAATAGATTGTCGGATATAATATAATATTTTTTCTTCTACCCCATTTACTAATAATTAATTAATTAATATAAAAGCAGTTTTAATTCCATTAAATGACATTTGTTAGTAATGTTATTAATTAAAAAAATGGCAATACAAGTAGAAAATTTAAAAATAGTTTTTGCATTAAGCTTTTTTTTAAATGGGAAATAAATTAAAGGTTTGGTTTGGTAAACCTTATGCAAAAAAAATGAGAAAAAATAATATTTTGCAGGTTTTGTTTTACATAGGTTAGCAGTATTTTTTTTTGAGAGTAGTATTGTCTTATCTCAACCCTCATTATCAATAAGATTAAAATATAAATTATAGGGAAGATATCAAGGGGTTAGAATTTCAGTCGCGCTCTTCAATTATAACAATAATAATACATTTTGTTATTATAATTACAGAGCGCGACTGTTGTGTTAGTGTCGCCGCACAATTTCTTCCACTTCGTCTTGTCTTTGGAAAGCCTGTGCGCCTAAAGGCAAAACTAGGGATGTGACATTCTCAAAAAAAATAATCGATTTTTTATTAATCGATTATTTTTTTTAGCATGAAAAATCGATTAATAAGTAATCGATTTTTTTTATTAATCGATTTTTTCCTAATTTTTGAATTAATTTCAAAATAAACACCCTAAATATATTATTTTTCATGGTTTTTGAAGTGAAACTTCTTTATCGGGGTTGGAAAAAAATTTAGTGTAACATTTTTGCGTTACGCGTCACATTTTTCCGTTACGCGCCATGTTGCTTTTTGAAGTCAAACTTCTTTATCGGCGTTAAAATATGACATATAGTATGTTTTTGACTTTGAAGTTTGACAACGGATTACATTTTCGAAGTCAAACTTCTTTATCGGCGTTAAAATATGACATATAGTATGTTTTTGACTTTGAAGTTTGACAACGGATTACATTTTCGACTTGAAATTTGCTAATCGCAATTTGCAGCAATTAATTTGTAAATTGTATGCTAGGCAGTGTATCAAAATTTACTGTGTTTAAAGAAATAGTTTCTAATAAGGTCATAAAGAAGTTTCACTTCTTATGTGTGTACACCTAGTACACGCACACATTTTTTTTTTAAATTAAAACAGACTAGAAATTATAAACACAAATTAACGTTTAAGAATAATTAAAATTGAAATTAACTTAATCTCGTTTTGATAGATTTTAGGTGAAATTTTATATATTCTGAGTGTATGCCTTTTCAGTAGCACATTGCAGTATTTTTGTTGTCTTTTTAATTGTATGTAGTCTTGTGCTGCTGAATAAATTTATTTTACTTTTAAATTATAAAGTTCCATTCAAACTTGAGTTTTTGTAATATTAACTGGTTTTATCATCCTTTCGATGTTTTACAAAAAAAACATCAATGCATCGAGTATATCAATACATCTTCAAAGAGTCGGATTCAATGTATCACATTGAAAATCGTTGTATATCGAATATCTCTAATAGTTCGAGGTCCGGGTTATAAAAGACCAGACAATGTCGGGAGGTGGCAGATAAAAAATCGACTATGATTGATTTTCAATAATAAAAATAATCGATTATTTTAAATATAAAAATCGCGTAAAAAAAATCGATTTTTACTTTTTAAAAAATCTATTAAAATCGATTTTTTTAATAATCGATTATTTTTTCACATCCCTAGGCAAAACCCGCAAGGACCTCTCAAGATCCCCTGGGGGCTTAGTCAAGATGCCTTAACAGTTAACAGTAGTATATGTAGAAAGTCGAAAACTAAATTTGTCTAATATGTAGGAAGTCGAAAACTAAAATCGTGTCGACAAATCTATGGTATGTAATGGTCAACAATCAACAACAATTTCCACAATCGCAGCAATTTTGTCATTGCGTCTTTCGTCATCTGAGTTCTTGTTCGGTTTTCTTGACTGTTAGTTAGCTAGTTTATTACTATGTTTTTGTAAATATTACTATAGTTTTTACAAACTATAACAAAGTTTCAAATGACATTTGTCATTATGACGTGACCAAAAAAATTTCTGACGTAACAGTTCACTAACTTCATTTGATAAAATATCATAAATGAGTTGTCAGTTGAGTCGAGAAACCAACCATAAAAGCACATGCGTCTAAGGTTAAGAAATAAGAGTTATTAATTATTATATGCTAGTAACTAGACTGTAAAGTAATGTTACTGGTTATCTCATATTAATTTTTTGGTTATAACATTATAGGTACATACAACAAAATCTTCCTAGTCTGGGTAAATCAAAGCAATCACAGTAAACTAATTAATGATTGTACATACCTACTAATGTAGAATCTTCAAAATTGTATTAATTATGATTTAAATTAAATGGTATATAAGTTATAATAAAATATTATCAAGATGCTTTCTGTGAGAGGACGGAGAGTTTTTACCAAAGCAAAACAATTGACTTTACGCAGGTATGCTCAAGTGGCCTTAACGGAGGAAAATGAGTATACCGAAACCCCAAACTATCCTCAAATTCAAGACATGTCTTTACAAGCAAGAAAATTGCGAAAAAGACAAGCAGTATATGAAAAAATTAAAAAGATTAACACAGTTGAAGAAAAGCAAATTGCTCTAAATATGCCTCGTTATTATGGATGGCCATGTATTATGTTAGGAGATGATCGTTTCCCATACAGTGCTATGCCTCTTGTCCAGTTTTATACAAGAACTCATTTTAAACCGATTGAAACACTTCCTACCTCATACAGTGAGACTTCAGAATTAGCAAACTCAATTGTTAATGAAATCAAATCTCATGTTGAAGACTGTATTGTTATGGAAAATGACAGTATTAGGTAAGGATTATTTTAAATCTTTAAGATTCAGTTAGTAAGTGGTAATACACTGTATTATTAAGATGTGAATGTTGTCATTGATATCATAGGAGGAGTGATGATTGCCAGTTGGAAGAGTCACAAAAGGAAGATAATCTAGCAAAAAATATTGTAAGACAAATAAACAGGATTATAACTAACAATGCTGCAGATAAAGTGCCTCACATTTTACCATCACAGGTAAATTTCTCTTTTATTTTCTTGTGAAGTAAGTTTCCTTGAATTAGTTTAAGGTTTAGTGGCTAGCTAATTTATCTATGAAAAAACAATTTGATCACCCAATTATATTGGGACTATTGAAATATGGTACAAACCAAAGAATAGATATCTAAACCTCTAAGCTATATTAATTGTTTATATCTAAGATATAATTGCATCATTTCAGATTGATTATGATCCAAGACATGAAGCATTTTGGTTTATGGGAGGTTCTAATGTTCCAGATAATGTTGTGAATTGGAGAAAACAATATGCTCCCCTAAAGGATCGATTGTATGAACCAATTGACCGGCCAGTACAATATAAAGGTAGCTTGTGATAATCATGTAACAAAAACTATTTCTATCTAGCACTACTACTAAAACTAATTAACGAGAATACAGTTTATTAGTTAAGTGAGCGTTCAAGTATTACGTAACGCAATTTTTGGAGATTATTGACCCCCCCCCATGTAACTCGTCGTAACGTTTTTCAGTACCCAAGTATAGTAAAATGTTTCGTGACCACCTAGTGACTCTTTAGATACTATTATGTAGTGTAAGTCGAAAAAAATATTAACAATAACGCGTAATTTAATCCCCGCCCCGCATCGTAACATTTACACAAAGACCCCCCCCTCCCAAAATACGTTGCGTAATACTTGAACGCTCCCTAAGTAGAAATGCAAAATATAGTTGAGGTGCAATAACAACTAGAATCAAATAATCATAAAAATTACAAGTCTGCCCCATGCTAAATAGCACAATCAACACTAATACATAGAAGTTTGTACCAGTGAATTTTCAGATTGTTTTGCTTGATTCCTTTTTTGGAAAATATAGCATTATAAAAATTGATTTTAACTGTACAAATCACTTAATTCTGGTAGGAATGGACTAATAAATGCCAGATGTAACTATGGGGTTGTTGTAATGCCATGGAGGTACCCAAGTAACCTCACATTATGGAAATTGATAAATTTTGATAAGTTTATGCGATATTCCCTGCTGTTTTGCAATATATTCTCCAACCAAAGCATAGATGTTGCTTACATGTCAAAGAATTTCAGAAATCTGTCTTCAATGTATTTTTATACGGCTTGTTACAGAACTATATTCATATGACATACAATATGTATATTTATTTCATTCAGTAAAAAACATCTTGTTTTTCAGGAACACCATTTTTAACAGTTAGAAATCACCTTCCATTGAAGCCATTTGTTCCATACAGTGAGGCAACAAACCCTGAATTTAAAGTTGAAAAGTTTTCTTACTTACCTGAGAGTGTTGGTTATACTGTAGAGTTTAGGCATGGAACAAACATACCAGGTATGTTGCTGTTATGATGATTATATATTAGTATTCCAATCTTAATATATATATTTCTTCTGTGCGTGTGTATGTGACTGAACTCCTCCTAAACGACTGGACCAATTTTGATGAAATTTTTTGTGTGTGTTCAAGGGGATCTGGGAATGGTTTAGATTCACAAATCAGCCCGACAGATGGCGCTGCAGTCGGTACTTTCATACTTTGTTTAATATCTTAATCGGTCGAAATATCATGCAGGACAACGTCTGTGGGGTCCACTAGTTAGTTGTATATAATCCAAGAAAAGATTCATGTAGGAAACAAAGTTTTATTCAAATTTAAATATAGACCACTATTTTTATAGACTTATCTATTAGGCAAATTGTTAAACCCTTTTTAGTCCTATCAACACAATAAAACAATCAGACAAACCACTGCCAAAAAACCTTTTCAATACTTAACATGAAAGGAACATAATTAAGAAAAAATATATCTTTATTTTTATAGCTATTATGTAGAGGGACATATTAGCTATAAAAATATCATTTTTAATTGTTTGAAGAGTTTTTGACACACAATTTTTCATTTAATGAAAAGTAAAACACTGCAACCATATCCAATATTTTAAAATGGGTAATTTAATTCTGAATTAATTTTATTTGGGCTGGGTGACACCCAAATCGTTTAGCCTCTAATTCACCTCATGCATTCATCAAAAAATCTCATTCAGTCTGAATAGTGAAGCCTCTGTTTTGTTTTTCTGAACGCAAGAATAGCGTAAGCAACAAATTAATCAAAAATACTCATTTTTGGTAGATTTAAAGCAAAAAACATACAAGTTTTGTTATAAAGGCTTATGGCGTAAGTGATTTTTTTGTTCGTCGCAAAAATATAAGTTTCCTGGTATAAGATTAGTTAGGGAATCGACAGTATGTTTTCCTGATGAAATTTATGTAATTTACGAATTTTTGTGTTTTTGATGCTTACGCAATTACGTTTTCTTGCGTCGATATGTAGGTTAATATAGTCTGATCTGCAAGACAATCAAGTTAATGTTTTTATGAAAATTACTATTGAGTCATCTAAAAAAAAAATTATCCAGACAAGCGAGGTAAGGGAGGTAACACCCCATACCCACAGCATTGTCTGCATAAAATGTTACTAATAAAACACCTAGAATTTAATTAACTAGATGATTTTTTATTTATTTAGGTAAATCTGTTGCATATAATATTTTTAGTAAAATAAGGTTACAGTTTTTTTTACATTAAACCTGTTTTAGGATTTTGGCCAGGTGATCTAGATGAATTTGGACTACTCTCATTTCATGGTAGAGGACACATTTTAAATCGAAAGGAATCATATGGACCACAGGATAATTTAGAGGCCTTACATTGCCAAGCTATGGTAGCCAGTTTCGGTTGGTTATTAGCTCAGGCTAACTACCAAGGATTTACAACATACAATGACATAACATATCCATTATCCACTCAAACAGTTATTACCAATGGACACTTAATATCACTCTATGCATACCAACTAAATACAATTACCATGAATATTGATATGATTGACAATAACTTGAAACACAACATTTGTTTTGGTACTGCACCAATGAAATTATTTGAAACTATTGAAAATAGTCAAGTAAAAGGGCTTAACCTAGATGTTTTAAAAATGCTAGTTCAGTTTTATCTAAATATGCCAGAAGCTCGTGAACATGAAATGAAACCTTATCTTGGTAAGGATAAACAGGTTGTAGCTGATATAGAAGATGATAATAGACGTTGTTGGCTTGAGGATAGATATAAACATTTAGTATCTAATCGTCCCAAACATAATTTGCTACCAGAAGTATATCTTTGGGAAAATATTTACAAAATTAAACACAAAACCCGTTTCTTTGAAGCTAAAAGAAGGCCATTTGAATTAGGTGTTAATCCATACAAACGCAGATTAGATGAACATCTGCCTCCATATATACCCAAAGTTTTGAGGCCATATCCAAAAGCTAGGAAGAAGTTTGAAACCACATACTATCCTGAAGTGTGAAAATCTTTAGTCTTAAAAACATTATATGTATGTAGATAATAAAATATGTAACTATCAAGTTGATTGGTTTTAATTTCAGTTTTAAAAGTAATTTAAAAGAGTATATGTATCCTTATGTATGTGTCCTTGAAATGAGAAATAATCAGTAAGTATAGAAACAACAAAACTTTTAATTAAGGGATGTTGATTCGCTTGACAAACGTTTTATCTCCTTTTGATGCATTCAACATTTCTATAACAAGTCTAAAAACTTTTTTTTTCAACTTTTTAATTATTTTGAATTTGGAACACGTATATTATTTTTAAAAACTTCTTTTGATTTTGCGCCATTGGACATCTTATCGCGTTCATTATCAAATTACAATATGGAATAAGGTGTTAAAGAAAATAGGATTGCAGTGATCTCCTTGAGTCAGACAGGCAAAAAGATCACCAGCCGAATGACCTTGGCGAAAGCCATGCTGTCGATCGATAATAAGCTGGTTCTCCTCCTGATATCGCAAGAGCTGCCTATTGATAATACACCCCATAAGCTTGAAAATAAAGAAGTGATTGCGATTTGCAATAGGTCTGTAGCTGGATGGGTCCGAGCGGTCACCTTTTGTAGGAATGGGGTGAATAAGGGCAGTCTTCCATGAACTTGGAACTACGCCCGAAGAGTACGACGGTTGAAAGTGCCGCTTGAGCGCCAAAGTCAACTCGGAAGCATGTGTCTTAAGTACGATCGAGGGAAGAGGTCGTAAGGGCTATTCGACCTACCTACAAATCGAATAAATCGGGGGAAAAAAAGCCTTCCGCACTACTACACTAGTTTGTTCGAATCGAATTCTGGCATTGAAAACCCGCTTTGCGGAATAGTTAGGGGTAAGATCCCTGTAACTCATCAAGCGTGGAGTTACGACTCAAAGGAGCTCTGCTTTCTCTTTCGCTGAGTGAACCATCAAGTGATCTGATGACTGGTAAAAGTTTCCCTGAGTTGCTTTCGCTAATGACCAAAAGGATCAGGTTCCAGAAGGCATTTTAGCGAGCTTTTCAGCAATTAAGAATGTTAACTAATTTTGAATATAAGCCCTATTTTCTCTCAAAAATAAAAATATAAGTGAAAGACTATACGATACAAAGTACTTTGATACGTCAATTAGTTTCCGATTTATAGAAGTAAACGTGCGATACGGGCTCGTATTCGTTGGTGTGACGTCATCTCACAACACCCTTCGTTACGTTTCATTAAAAATTATAAGTACTTTCAAAAATGTCCAATCCTTACCTAGGAAATTATATGTGCCGAAATGTGCAAATGCAACCCGCAATGAGCCTGACAAATTGTTTTTTTATCGTTCCAAAGGACGTCCAAATGCGAAAGAAATGGATAAAATCTAAAACCTAAAGGCCACACATTCTTTAAAAAACTCCCAGATTCCTCTATCTTTTTATTTTGTACCTTCGCGAAACAGACTTGTCACATGGGTCATGCTGCAAAGAAATGACGCCAGTCATCCCAATCAGCCGATTTGTAGTGCCAGACACGACGGCATGCTAAAAATGCGGGCAGTTATCGTACCAGGGCCGTAAAATTATCGTATATGGATCACATATAAATTATCGTACAGTCAGGAAAATGGCTAAAAATACTTTAAAAAATCATATGAAACGTGAAAATTAAATGTTGCAAACGATTTATAGTTTAAATCTTGTAAACTTGTGTTTTTCAAATTGAAAAAAATAATAATAATTCAATTTAAATGTTCGAATGGCACAGACCCGAGCTGGGCCCTCGTCCACTTTGAGTGTGATTAAGGCGCCAACATTTCAAATTTATAAAGAACAAAATAATGTTAAAGGATAGAGACACATGAAAACAAACATATTTTTAAAAGTTTAAATGAATATATTTGCGAGAACAGAATACGAAAATATTAAGGAAACTTAACGTTTTATATACAACTTTTAATCTCTTCCGTCAAAGAGGAACAAAAATACGCAATATTTTCTCGTTTAACAATAATATGGTGTTCGCTCTAAGTGATATACCTATTGTCCGTAAACATCGTATATTATTTTTATCACTTAAAATTCGTTAGGTATTAAAATGCTATCGAAGACTTCCGAATCAGCGTCACCATAAAAATCGTGAATTTTTTGGCTGTGCATTCTGATGCGTTTTTGTGTTTGTACATTTACGCTTTGTTCATCCGCTGTAGTCGCCTTGTGACAGCATATGTTCCTAATAGAAAAATAAGCCAATAGATGGCACTGACACTAAAAACTGTAATTGTTATTGGGCTATCTGTGTAATCATCAAATTTTTTATCAGAATGGAAATTATTGTACAATCTGCGTACGATAGTCGTGTACCATCGTACATCGTACGTAGTTATGAGATTATCGCACATGTACGATAATTATCGTACGGTTGTGAACACTGGGCAGGATCGACGCTTAATTGGCACTACGGTACCACGACCAGGCAGTTATCGGAGCATCCACAGTAACTTCGTAGAAGTCTGGGTGAGAAGTCAGCATAAGATAGCGAAGGTCAGCTAGTTCTGGGGCCTTAGTCAAGATGCCATAACAGTAGTGTATGTAGAAAGTCAAAAATTAATTTTGTATGAAAACTTTTCGACACGAACTGTCATTTCCATACAAATTTAGTTTTCGACTTTCTACATACACTACTGTTAAGGCATCTTGACTAAGGCCCCAGATATTCGCGTAGTCATTGTGACCAGTTTATTTAAACCACATGCAAGAGCGAAATCATGAAAACCACTTCCCGAATAGTCAGTCGTACGAGAGTTCAAGCACTCAGAATGATGGGCATTAAAATCTCCGAGTATAACGACTTCAGCAGGTGATAGAGATAAAAGGGAATCGATTGCAGTTTGGACATGATCTATAACGGCCAAAATTAATAATGTATCCTCAATCTATGATTATAACCAATCTTGGACTGATTCATATCTAAAGACCGATCTCCAATCTGCATGCCAATAAACATTTCTGCTATCCGATTGTTTATTTGACAAAAGATTGACACCAATCATTTTCGTGATCCTTCCCTCTCGACCGCGTTTTGTTCAATGCAATATATTGTGTTCAAGCATACCAAAAGTTTGCTGTTTTTGGAACGAAATAAAATAAGTAAGACTTATCGTCTGTTTCACAATGTATGGATAAAGTAGCAAATAGCTATGCAACGTTTTTGTTTGTTTTTTTGTTACGAACAAATAAAGTTACAAAATTCTATAGAAAAACATAGAACCTTAACCTTTTTGTTGGTCATTTAATATTACTTGTAACGAAACGGGCTGTCATTCATATGGTATTTTTGTTTGTTAGGTAATTGAGTATTTTAGTATATATTTTAATTTTTAGTTCGGTGCCTTCGGCTTGACCTTTCAAATATAAATTTTCTCTGAGTAGTTTGTGTATGTTGTTTTTGTGATTCGAGGTTGGTTCTTTAACTTAAAAAAATGTCTACGCAAAAACGTGAAAGAAGCGTCAATTTCAGCCGGGAAGAAGTTGACCTTCTAACTTCGCTTGTTGCTGACCATAAAAATATATTAGAAAATAAAAAGAGTGACTCAGTCACCTGGCACTGGCAGGATAAAGAGCAGTGCTGGAAGACGCTGGAGGCGCTGTTTAATAGCACAAGTGGGGTAAACTTTCGCAGTGCTAAAGCTTAAAGAGGGCTACAAGAAAAAAGTCTGCCTTGATACATGCTGAAACATATCGTACAGGAGGTGGCCCTAGTGCTGCTACTCCTCTTACCCCTATCGAGGAAAAAGTCAAAGACATGATATTGTTGTCTGTCGAAGGAATTGAAAGTCAATTGAAAGGAAGAGCTTCTAAATAAGAGAAAGCAATGGGCATTTGAAGAGGAAGCAAGAGAGCATAAAAGAGAATTATGGGCCATAGAAAAAAATATATTGTTAAATAAATTAGAAAAATAATAGATTTTGTGCCTGGAGCAAGGATGTATTGTATTAAAAATTTGTATTTTTATTTGAATAAAAGCATTGAATTTTTATTTAATTTATCTCAAAAATGTTGTAATTTATAAAATATTATAGTAATAAAGCAAAATAATCACTTATAAGATTACTTCGCACACTTGCATTTCCCACGTTGTCAATTGCGCTTTGATCAATATCATTAGCTGGTTCATCATCATTAATTCTTGTCTTCTTATGTCTTCGCACAGAAGTACGTTGTCTTCTTCCAGCTTCAGAATTACTATCCCAATCGGATAATTGCATTTAAACTTCCAAATCACTATCACTAGAACTGGAAGATGACGAAGATGAATAAATTTTCCCAATGAATATTAAGTTAGGTCGCAATCCCAAACCCAAATCATACGAGTTTCACCGATAGCAATCCGAGATTGATTTGGCCAATCGAAGCAACTGTCAAAATGGACAGATAGGTTGTTGGCATGAGTAAACATTCATTTTCATACAGAGGGCAATCTTCAATCTCTTATCCGCCCTCTGAACGATTGGTTGAATAATTAGATTGGTATCTCAGTCCATGGACTTAATGTTGGCATGCTTTTCTTTAGAAATGGATTGAATTGTCAGTCTATGACAGCTAAAATTGGATTGAGATTGCATATTGGTTTTGGCCGTAAGTGGGTCGACTTCGGTGGTGCCGCTGTGTGACCTATATCTATTATTATTATTCCCGCTATAGCAGTCATTCTTCATTACATTCTACGCATACAAGATAGATAGGTGGAATATTAAAAATATACACATCAATAATTTTGAAGAGTGCTTAAATAATTTTATTAATATTGACACCATAAAAACCTAAATCCAGAATTTGTACCTGAGCGATGGGTTTCCAATGATGAAAAAAAAAATTTAAAATGTTTTCAGAAGGTAGTCTGTGGTTTAAATCATAGATACTTCAAATTTTAAGCAGTTGTGAAATGTGAACACATAGTAGAATATTCTGTGACTTCACTTTTATTGATTAGCAAAATTTTCATGCTT